AGCGATCATGGTCCGGTGATCAGTCTTAGGTTGTGTGGGGGCACGTATCTTTTGTAAATGACAAGTTTTCCAACGTCTAATCAGTTTTGGTAGGCCGTTGGGTCTCGGCGTGTCCTAGCAGGGAAATTTCGCAGGTGAGACGAACAAAATCACATACACGTGTCAATAAAAATTGTGCGGTTCGTCTTTCGGGCTAGGCCAGCACCCTTGGCAAGTTCATGTTTTCAGATTCTAACTGATGGATGCCAGTTTTTTTGTAATCCTGTCTGTAAAAAGGACAGCAATAACCTTAATTTAATTGATCTGACCATTGCCATAGGTTTAAAATTTGTCATACTAGACATAAATTTTTTATATGCTCCAAAAAATATTCATTTTAAATGCAAAGAAGAACAACCATAAATTCAACAAGTAAGCTAAAGAACACTTTATATGCACATGTAAAAATGAAGCAAAGAAGCTAGCCGGTCACTATCTTTCAAGCTTACTCTATGTCACAACCATCGCCTCGGGGAAAACTAAGGAGGTCTTTTCTCCGTGTACAACTCTTGTACTGTATTTTACAGAAGAATTGGGGGAGTGAAGTCAAGTCAGGCAGGCGTCTTACATTGGGTGGAGAACTGCCGAAAATTCCCTCCCGAATAGTTTCTGAAGAAAAGAACTTTCAAAAGCTGATTCACAGTCTATGATGAATAAGTCCATAAACAGTGACCAACGCCACGATAAGAGAATGATCTACATGCGGCTCAACTTCCAAGGTTAATACATCCTCTCCTAGTAGAACCCCAGAAGATGACTGCTTCCTCTTTGCCTACCAAAGATCACAATCAGAACCAGCAAACTTTCAGTCATGAAAGAAATTAATAAGAACAGAAGAGTATTCGCTCCTGCTAAATCTAGGCCAAGAGTACTCACCTCCGCAGCTAGTTTTCCGTTTCCTTGTGTTATTTTAAAAGCTGATTTACCAGCCATGCCTGTTATTGTGTAGCAGCTTGCTTGGCCGTTATCACAACAGATTATGATGACTTGACAGGATATATTTCCTTTAAGAATATTTCTGAAGTTCTTTCTTCTCACTTCAAACTGCAGCTTCTCAGAATTCAGATTCAAATCATTGCATCTATCGCCCACCCATCTTTTGAAAAACCATTGATTCTGCAAAAGGAATTAATTGTAATAAGTAATCAGAAAGGAAGAACATCAATTTCATTCTTGCATATATTTCAGGCTCCAATTAACCATAAGTTTCAACTTTCAAATACCTTTCTGAGTATCGTGAAGAGAACTTTGCCTTGGAGATCCATGAGGCAAACTTCATCGCTGCATTTTTTATCATAATTATCAACTCGATAAACAATCTCCCCGTTTTCATTATAGACAGTGCATCCATTTCCTTGCATCACTAGGGATTTCATCCATACGGTGAAAGTTTCTCTCCTTGTAGTGACATATGAAGAGGAAGAGGAAGAGGAAGGAACAGCTGCAGCAGCGGCAAGAGGATGAACCTTGATCATCTGAGAAATGAGATACTTTGGTTTGTTCCCCCACGTCAAAAAAGTGCCGGTGCTTTTAAACGAGTCAAGAAACTTAGTCAATGTGGCTGATCATATTATGGGAAATAGTGCATGAATGAAAAGCCCGATTAATGAGAAAAAATAACTCAAATAATTGAATAAGGGAGCTCACATCTCGCAGGTTCAATGGTCGAATAAACTGACCACGTTTATGGCATGCACCTGTGTTTTCGCACTGTGCATGTATTAGGAAATTCCCTTGTTTTAACTAGCTAACGAGATCCCCCTTCCCTTGCTTTAACTGTTTTCGACTTCGTCTAGAACTGCTAGATTAAGTACACCACAAGCATAACAAGAAACAAAATCCTCCACCCCAGCCTTTGATTAATTAATACGCCACCCACGATTGGTCTCTATCACCTGATGAAAACGTTGAATTCCACTCAACATGACAATGCGCACGTTATTACTAGTACTACTGTTATCTTTTTCTTACAGACCCAATGCGTCGAGGGAATGAGCATGACGTAGGTGCTTTTTGCAGCAATGACTAAATTCAACCGAAAGGGAGCCCTTCTTGTTTGGCGACTTTACTAAACATACAGTGGGCCAAAAATTGGATTGTATCATTCGGCTTTTGATTACCATATGCCATTTTGCCAGCAAAAACTTGCAGGCTACTTGTCAAGGAATCTGATACTGAAAATTAAAAAATATAGATATTGCATACATACTGAACAAGTATTTCCATGCAGAAAAAAGAAAAAACTATATATTTATGTCACCTTAGTTAGTAGCTTTGTTTTTAATGAGATATGACAATAGATATCTTTTTTTGAAAAGTATGAATAGAATCATTTCATAAAAAAAAAAAGTAAAATTATTACTATCCGATACATTATAATAGATATCTTGCCATTCAATACTTTATGTTATTTTATTCGATTAAGTCAAATTAGAATATCTTATAAGCAAGTTTTGATAATGAAATTACCATAATCTTAAAGGTGAACTTATTTATAAATAATAATTTTTAATATTCAATTTGAGGGTTATATATTATTTTTATTTATAATTAATGTAATATTTATTAAAATTCATAATTAATTGTCAATATATTTTTAATTTAAAATTTTATTATATAAAATTTGATTTAAATTTATTTTTATTTCAGATTTGAGTTTTTTTACAAATATTAATAATCAAGTTTGTATATTACTTGTTATTATTTAATCGAATTCAAGTAGAGTATGAATAATTAAATTTTAAGTAGATCTAAGATTGATCATTATTTTAAAATTAATAGATATCTTATTTATTTCCATTTCTAGATTTGATAAGAGAAGAAGTTCAATGTTTAACATTTTACGATATAATTGAGTTCAAATTCAAAAACAAAAATATATTAATTTTTTAATGAAAAAGAATGTGATTCTCGAGCGACTCCTTTCTTTTGGTCGTTCACATTTATGCATTTGGGTTGCGGGGAAGGGTAGAGATGGAAACTTCTGTCATATTTTTTCTTTCAAAATTTCTTAATTGGGTTAATTAATACTTCTGCTTATTCTGAGTGCAATGGGTTTGATTAAGGCAAATTTGGGGAGTTTACATGACAATTTAGAATAAGTTTTGTTTGATTCTTGAGATCTGCTAAATATTTGTTAATAAAAGCTGTATGGAGGTAAACAGGAAGGAATTAAAAAAACAAATTAAAGTAAAAAATATTATAAATCAACATGGTATCATTTGATTGACTAATTACCCAAATTAGGGTAAGGTGGGGACCAGTTCAGATGAAATCCTAGATGGCGTCTTGGTTCTATTCTCTTGTATTGTAATTATTTTTCAATGGTTTAAATTTTAATTAATTTAGCATATATATATATTATGTTATATATGTTTCATCATGTACAAGAAGAATATACAACTATTATCGTATTTATTAAAATTTCTATTTTTCAACATGTTTAATTTACATATTCCATATATTGGGCATGACCACGCTAAAATAATTAAAGCACAAGTAATTTAATATTAAAATAATATAATTTAATATTAGATTAGCCTTAATTAAGTGATCAATAATGTATAATGCATGCCTAAACAGTTTGTTGTGGGTATATTGAATGGTTGCTACACATATCAAATCACAAAATATCAAACTAAATAAGGTTAGCATGGATCAAGTTAATTAATTTACAGCAAAATTAACCAAAGCCTAGCTAAATTAATAGTATTAATAAAAAAAAGTTGATAGTTATGAATATATATATATATATATATGAATATTCATTCTATTTCACAACATCTAATCTACATATTTATGTTGATACATTTTTATTTTCTAGTTTTATTCAGTGTATGTACATTGTTATTTACTAAGTTCATTCTCTCTAATTATATAAATTCATTTCCCCTTTGTCTATGTATACTTATAAATAAAAGCATTATAATTGATAGTAGATATATTAAAATAAGAAATAAAATAAAATAAAATATTTTTTTACATTTTTATTATTTCTCTTTAATATTCTCTTTTAAATTTATATTTTCACAACATTGACTAAATTTTTAATTATAATAATTTACTGTATGTTAAATTGGGAGTTCCAATATAACGTGTGAAGTATGAAAGACACGAGTGGCCAGCCTCCAGCCGCATGTGATATTATGCACAGAAAACAGCACACCGGCAAGCGAATTAATTGCGGCGCTGCCATGGTTTGGTGAGCGTGCGGTTGTGGACTAGCACATTACACTCTATATCTACACATTTTCGTTCTATATAATTAATAAAATAGTAGTTCAAAATTCCTTGGATCACTGACAAAAATACAATGAGGATGTACACGGCTATGGAAAATGAGTTAGTTTCACACCAAAGGCAGGCACCCATCATGACAAAAATGATGAGGCAGGCAACGCAGAGAGTCAGGCAATACGGCAGAATGTCAGATATATTTCTCATTTTAGAAAAATCAGGGTATAGTGAGTTTATATACAACCCCCGTAACTAATCAGGGAATGAAAAAAGAAAAATAATTAATTAATCTATGTTAACTAACTAATTGATATTTTAAAGAAAGGAGTAAAAGTAAATCTTTAAAAAGTAACTAGCAGTAAGACTGGTAAATAACAAAACGTTCCAGTTTATTTATTTATTTCTTCTTGGTACTGTGCGTTTGACCCTTCCATCCTTGCTCATCCATTTGCAGATTCGAGTCTCTGTCTTCTTCTTTTCTGTTTATTCTCTTGAGTTTATTTTTTCACATTGTTCAGCTAATACATCAAAAGGTCAATTATGAATTAGTTTCTTCGGTCAAAATCTTGTAGGGTATGGTTTTGGAGTAATGCTATGCAATGTCCAATTTTCATTTTAAGAATGTAAAACATTTGTTCTGCACCACGTAGTCCACCACAGAAAAGGGGAAAAAAATGGGGAGAACTTAACCAAAGCAAATATATCAGAAACCAAATTCAGACAATGAAGTACATATGTCAGGTTTGTCAGAGTGATTGTGCTGATCACGCCTTATAGATCTCTTGAATCTCATTGCAGGGTTTTTTTTTGTTTAATTGCATCAACCACATGCATTATTTTCCCCTTTGATTTGGGATATATTCTTCGAGATCAGCAGAGATACTGTATATCTTGTTCTATATATATTTATATCGAACTTATTCTACCTGAAGGTTCATATATATATATATATATATATATATATATACACACTTGTATATAGCTGGAGTATGCCTACATTGTATACGTGTATACATGCTTCACTTGCTTAGTTGCTTTCTCGAAAATTTATGCTTGGAATTATCGATCTACAATCTCTTGTTTATCAACCCATAAACGGTCACAAGAGCAACGATTAGTGAATGATCAATATAAGGTTCTACCTCCAAAGTTAATACATCATCTCCTAACACCATCCCGGAAGATAATTGCTTCCGCTTCACCTGCAATATTAAAAATGGAGAAAGATTGTCAGTGACGACATTACCATCGGATAACTTATCTTTCCTATATAATGACTTAAACACAGAAATTTTAAGTCTTGGTGTTTAATTACCTCTGCTACAATATCTCCTGCCATGTTTACTATCTTAAATCCTTGTTTGTTGCGACCTAAGCTAACTATCCAGTACTTGTTCAAGCCCATCGTCACTTGACAAGCTAAATCTCTCCGGAGAATCCTCCAGTATTTCTTAACTTGAAAGCATGGCTTTTCCTTCTTTGTGCCAGTAAAGTTCCCTCTATAGCCATTCCAACGTCCAAGAAGTTGAAGTTTCTGCAAAAGCAGTCAAAGGTGAGAAAACCCGATTAAGAGTCTTCCCAGATAATCAATAATATAAATTTATATTCTTTATAAGATGTTTAGTTGCATCTATAGTACCTTTTTTAGTATGGTGAAGAGAACTTTGCCTCGCAGGTCCATGAGATGAACTTCACTGCTACCCCTGCTGTCATAGTTTTCAACACGATAGACAATCTCCCCTTCTGAATCAAAAACGGTGCAACCATTGGTGTGACATACAAGAGATTTCATCCATATAGTGAACGTTTCTCTTCCTGCAGAACCCATACTGCAGGGATCTGAAACGGATGCTTGAGGATGAACCTTTGCCATTTTGAAAGGTAGTTAAGAAAGTTGAGGTTTGAAGATGATCAGAAAGGCCGGCAAGAAGTTATATTTATGCTCCTATCCTTAGGAACTGAGTTGTAACGTAAATGATTTAAAAAAACAATGCCATGTCACAGTCACGGAGTCCCATAAAATAATCGAAAACTATAAAAAAAATGTAAAATAACATTTTTTTTAAAAAAAAGGACAAAAAACATTTTAAGCTTCACAGTTATCTTTCATTGATCTTTTGTCAACCTAAGCCTCCTAAAAAAGCATATTTATTTATTATTAAACAATGCCATTATATGGTGGCTCAGAAAGAGGATATCACTTCATCTAGAGAATATTTCCGCAGAGGAGATTCAATGCACGTTTAAAGCATGCTCTCTGACCAAAACAGGGTTGTTTAACTCAGCAAAGATCAGGTTGTTTAACTCAGCAAAGATCGACCCTTTTGAGCCTATCTTCCTAGTAGTTCTAATTTTTTTTTTTAAAGTGTATTATTTAGTATTTGGGTTTGTTGATGTCATGAAGAAAAGGGACATGAAATATAGTATTTGTTTCAGTTCCTATCTTTGGTCAGATCCTTATCGGTTCATTGATGAAATTATTTTATATGCTTTTTCATATATTTCTCTGCTGCTACCACATTCATCAACCAAACTCCAAGATTATCTTCGAGGAAACTAAGATAAACAATCAACTATTCTACTACAAATTTTCTACGAAACTTAATCCCAAGCTGCTGACATATTGTTCTGGAATTAGTACTCATCATGATGGGTTGAGTCACTTTGGTTTTAATAATTAGCCATTACCATTGACCATTGTAACAAAGACTGCCTTAGCCAACTAGAACTACTATAGGTTCAGGTACATTCGGAACTGCTTCAGGAATCCCATTCCTGATATTTTAATTAAGTTTTTAATTACGTGGATTAAAGGGACGAAAAAGAATGAGATAAAAAAAGAAACAATTAAAAAACAATAAATATTCTATATTAATAGTAGCAGCAAGCAATTTAATATACAGCGTCGGCCTCTGCTCTTTAGAAGCGCAGGCCGCCACCCTGACATCATATCCCACGTGGAAAGAAGCATTTTACATGTGGATGAACCACCTACAACTTTAACATATCTTCCACTTCATATTTTGCCTTCAATTACTGGATTAGAACTTCTATCCATAAAATTACTAACAGAGTTTCATTAGCAAACAGAAGCAACAATATCATTGACTTTTTAGGAAAACAAAAGCTTTCTAGCCCTTACCCCTGAATGGAGATGGTAATTATTTGAAGCCGTTGACCTTTTTTTTTGAATTCTATGTATTTAAAAAAAAAAGAAAAGAAAAACGAAAAATCACTTGAACTTGAGTTGATCCCACGTTTTTTTGAAGATTTAACATATACGGGTGACCCCATGAAGTAACTATAGATTAATTAATTAAGTCAACCCAGCATAATTAAGTATGACTTTAATTATTAAAGCTAAGGGATTAGCTATACGATAAATTTAATAATTTGTATTCTCTATTATAAACGACAGATATTCTATTATTATATATTTTAATTTTATTTTAAATGATCACTTTTCATGAAAGTTATAGTATTCCGTAAGTATATTTGACTTGTAGTTGTTTATATAAAGCTTTTGCAATGTCAGCTCAATTTTAGAAAAGCAAGGTTTGGGCCTCGTCCTCCCTGCTGAAATAGCGATAGCATGAAGCAGCTAACCACAACAAATGGGCCACACTCGACCCACCCTGCTTAACCAGAACTCTTCTCGAATTGGGCTTGAGCCCTTAACCATTAACATCACCATTCCATCACCTTGACTTTCAAAAAGTTTTGGAAAGTCTTAAACTTTAAATTTACCATTTTATCTTCTGGACAAAATAGTTAAATATTAAAAAAATAATATTTAACTACGTGTCAATGATGACATACACATCATTGCCTAGTATTTCCCCCATTAAAAATTGGGTTTTGTGAGTTGTGAAGAGTTTATGTCTATGATGACACACACGTCACCCTAGATGAACTTTAATACTAATATCTTCTTATTGATCCTTACACTTCATATCACTATAAGGTTCCTTACTTGTGCGTTTTACCCCGACCAGTAAATGCCTTTGCCTTTCTTATTTGCTCTACCTTTTTAGCTTCAAAGAGTACAATCCCTGCAAAGTTTTGTCAATGCTTTGAAGGTCCACATTCAAACAAATACTTAAGTGGAATGCATAGCAATCCAATGGATTCCAGGCATATTTCAGCATTTTTGAACCGTCTATGTTTATCAGGTGCTGCCAAATAATATTTGTCTGGAGCAGACCTTTTGCAGCATGGCTGACCGTGAAAGTAAGTTGGTTTATGATGATGATTACACTGACTTTTATATTGTGATTGACTGTTTTTTATCATCAAGTTGTATGCTTTTGGACAATCATTTTAAATGTAATCTGTCGTCTGTTGATGCTGCCGTATACAAGTTTTCTGCCCATTCCTAGTGTCATTTCCGCACGCCTTGGGCTCTAAATATGGAGGAACAGAATACACGAACAACGGCTTTTAGATTACTTAATGTTGACCATCGTCTTGATTCTTGCTTATTATATGTTGTCCAGCTAATCTAATTTAAAATCAAAGAGAGAGATGGGTTTCATTCAATCTGTATGTTTTAATCAGCAAGCATGACAAGGAAGAAAACTAGCTAGCTCAAAACATATCTACTAAATGTTGTATTCAAGGTGAGAGAATGCCTTCTGCATTCACCATTCGTTTTGGCTTTTGCCATGCATTTCTCTGCAATGTAAGGACAAAGATTTGATCTCTTGCGTGGTCCATTTTGATAAGAAACTAACTAATTCCAAATATTCATGGAATGAACTGCAAATCCTTGTAAAGTCGTGATAACCAAATCCGATCTATCTTAATGCTTTGATACAGAAAAAAAAAATGTTCCTTCAGTTGAGACATTCAAATGTGACAATCACAGAATTCCTCTGGTTTCACATTTACTTCCACGTGAAGATGGTTGGACTGGTAGCGGAATGCTGTCAGTGAGAGTTGGTCGCCCTGCCGTCGAGTGGCAGTAAATGTAAACATTTGTACATTGACTGCAATCAACCACCATGAATTTCCTTTCCAACAGGGTATTATTTTCTGGCAGTTGAACAGAACCTCTGATGAAATTATACATCGATTTTTAACTTTGAATTGCATTTGATTACTCAAAAGTAACTAACAGATGATTATTGATGGAATATGGTGGCATGTTTAGTCATAGCTAAGCTAAAGGATAAACAAACAACACACTCTTCGATTTCTATTGATAATACAGAAAAGAGTAAGGACTAGCCGTCTAGGGGAAACTAGTTCTTTTCATCTTTATTTTCATCTTTTTTCTCATCTTTCTTCTCTTCCTTAGCTGGTCCCACTGTAACAATCTCTGCTTTCCCTATTTTCTTCAGTCTTTTGGCTATTGCAACCGCGTCCATCTCGCCAATGATAGTCAGCTTTTGCTCCTTCAAGTCCGCCGCAATTGAATCAACGCCTGTTCAACAAGATTTGTCATATTGCAATGCTGTCATTCAGAAATTTACATGCTCCAGGAATAAAATCAGAACCCACAAAGGAAGAAAAGGCTTTGCTGATTACCGTAAATGTTGGCAACAGCCTCTAGGGCTTTCTTCTTTGTCTTTTCATCATTCATGGTCATTATCTTCAAGACTACCTTCTGCAATGCAAAATTAAAGGTCATGTCCTAGAAACAGTATATTTGTGATAAGGAAAGGAAGAGAAATAAAAAAAAATGCCTGAGCCATCTGAGGATATTGATCAGGATATGCAGGGAATGGAGGCAACAGAACTACGTTGCAGCTGGATCAGCATTGAATATCCGAACTCAATACAAAAGGCCTCAAGGAAGGGATGGTCAAGGGTGTAACACATTTATATGTATAGGGCTATGACAAACTGGCAGTGGCTTAGATCAGCAGTGATATGGTCAATGATGTCGCCCACTCTGAGCGACCTTTTTCAGGCTTTTCTATGGATCCTACTCTGCAAGTAATGACCAATGAATTAAATATTCCCAATCTGAGTTTAGAAGCAACAACATTTTCCTTTTAAATTTATTATAATTATTGCACACTTACCCCATAATTGGCATCAAACTAATATTTGGAAATGATTCTTGTTAATTTATTTGGCTCCAGATTCCTGAAACCATTTTCTTATGTACACTTCATTCTTCATTTTCTGGACCAATTCTCTCTGCTGGTAACCTTATTTGCAGTCCAACCGACATCAATCGGAGACATTATTGGAAGATTACCCCTCAAAACACTCCACTCCATACAAATTATACAGCGGAACATCATTGCAACCACTAATAAAAACAAGTGTTTTGCTGTCTTTTGCTGACTCTTGGGAGAGTCACAGACCAAATAATAGACTAATATAATACATAAAAGCTTAAGCAGTTTTCTCTCTGAACCAGAAGATGTAGGAGAATCAAGGAATATTCATTGGATTAATTTGAGTGCAAAGGGATTATTGGTAGCAATTTTCATTTAAGAACACATGTACGTGCCTGACTTATCAGACTGCAATATCTCTGATGTGGACCCCGCAGTCTTTTCCATTCTTTTCCTCCCTTCTTACACTGGAAAGGCTGGGCCACCTTACTGTCCTTCAATTGACAATCAGCCAACTTCACTAGTAAATAGTTGCAAAGATAGTAATACTAGTAAATATTTGTTTCAGCCAGCTATGTCTTGAAGATGCCTGACTAGCTCATTTGCAAAGATAGTAATACTAGTAAATAGTTGTTGAGAAAAGCGCCACCTTTTCCTGTAAATGCCATTTAGATTCAAGTAGAGGAGGCTTCTTTAGTCAGAATTAACTTCAAAGGAAATAATGGCTCAGTTAAAACATATAAGATCCTATGACTTTCTCCAAATGGAAAATCATCAGCTCTTTCTTAATACTTCAGAAGGTAAATTTTTTAATAAGCATTTAGAGTAATTTTCTGCTAACAGTAAGCTAGGCAAAAGTCATTTGAGAAGCTTGTATTTTTGTACACAGGAATTCCCATGGTCCCAACACCCCACTTACTTTCTGCCGTCTGGTATTGTCCATTGAGAACCAATTATGATGATTGCAACGGTAAATATGCCAGTGCTGGAAATACCATGGCTTTTTTAACGGAGAGATCTTGGATTCTGGCCCCCGACTCTCAGTTATCTCATGTTCAACTCTTTTGGCCATTAGCTAACCACATGGATCCCACCAAAATACCATCCTTCTCTGCTCAAGAAATGTTTCTCTTTGCCTTCACCAACAAGAAAATTTTGTACTAAAAACGTTTATTGGTGAGGCAGCAAGCTTTATCAACAGGAAAACCAAAGCTGCATTAGATTTTTGATGACAGTTTGGTGAAACAATAAGAGAGAAAGTGAAAGGACCCTGATGCAAAAGCTGCAGTGCAGTAAAGAATTCATGTTGCACGGATCTGGACTGGCTAGACATTCCTTGGAGATACCTTTCTGGCGGCCTCCATTGAAAAGAAAACCTGCAACAACTGCAGCTCTTCTCTTTTTAACTGTTCTCCTCGTGGCTGCCTTTACATCTTCCTCATGGATTGACACTGTAAGTACTAAAATTCCCACAAGTACTTAAATTTCGTACTATTTCTTTCTAGTAACTGGATTGGAAAACCCATTTTTCAGAATCTTCATGGTAGTTTGTGCAATTTTTAATTCATGTTTAGTTGAGCTGCTCTTTCTTTTCTTTTTTTTGTGCAGTCTAGTTTTTTTATTGAGAATTTAAGAAATAAGACTATAATAATATCAGAAAAGCCAAAAATTCCCATACAGAAAATTGAAATCCCACTCGAGTGCACCAGCAGCAAAAACCAGACACAAACCTGTCCTACGAATTACCCCAAAACATTCCAAACAGAAGACCTTGATCCTTCATCCAACCCTGTTTGCCCTGATTACTTTAGATGGATCCACGAAGATTTACGTCCCTGGAAAACCTCAGGAATCACCAGGGACATGGTGGAAAGAGCTAACAGAACAGCAACATTTCGCCTGGTAATCATTGGGGGCAAAGCGTACGTTGAAAACTACAGAAAAGCCATTCAGACAAGAGATGTTTTCACCATTTGGGGCGTTCTGCAACTCCTCAGGAGGTACCCCGGAAGGCTACCGGACCTGGAAATCATGTTTGACACTGAAGATAAGCCGCAGGTCAGATCAAGTGACTACCGTGGACAGAATGCGCCGGGCCCACCACCATTGTTTCGGTACTGTGGAGATAAAGAAACGCTGGATATAGTGTTTCCTGATTGGTCCTTCTGGGGTTGGTAATGCCTTCTTTTACAATCCTCTCTGTCCTTTTTGCTGTTCATTTCACGCTGGTTTTTGTTTGAAATTGTTGTCGCTACATGCATGGTAGAAAGCAGAGCTAACACTAGTCTGCTCGAGATGTAGCCAAATGTGGTATTAAAGGCAGGCCATACAAGTTTGGTTGCATATTTGACAAATGGGTCCCCTGTTTCAAAAACTAAGTGACGTACCATTTTTAGGCCTCTGATAAGACTCGGTACAATTTGGAATGTTTCGGAAGTTAGAACTCTTAACTGCTTGATACTGCTTTACTCTCTTAATTTTTGAGCTATTATAATTCTATAAATTCAAAATTTCAAGTTAACAGTTTGATATCCATTCGTCTTAGTTAACAAAAAGGGTTTGTGCTTTTTCCTTTTAGGGCAGAGATAAATATAAAACCATGGCACAGCATATTGAAAGATATTAGAGAAGGAAATAATCAGACCAGCTGGATAGACAGGGAACCATACGCCTACTGGAAGGGAAACCCATTCGTGGATGACAGAAGGCAGGACCTTCTTAAGTGCAATGTCTCTGATCAACAAGACTGGAATGCCCGCCTATTTATCCAGGTAGATTTAGTGTAATTTTAAGCATAAGCTCTTGATTTGTTCAAAAGAACTATCAAATTAATAGGCATAGTTTGCAGGATTGGATCCTTGAAGGCCAGCAAGGTTTTAAACAGTCGAACATAGCACATCAATGCACCTATAGGTATAATTCTGGTGTGAGAACAACAATACTGGTGTAAATTTGTCAACTAAAGTTACCAATTTGGGCAATTCGTGGTTTTGCAGGTACAAGATCTACATTGAAGGGTATGCATGGTCTGTTAGCGAGAAATATATTCTGGCCTGTGATTCTGTTACACTGATTGTACAGCCTAAGTACTATGATTTTTTCATGAGAAGCATGCAGCCTGTGGAGCATTACTGGCCTATAAGGGACGATGACAAGTGCAGGTCCCTTAAGTTTGCTGTGGATTGGGGCAATCATCACAAAAAGAAGGTAGCCATCTCTAGGCCAAATTACTCATAGTCTATATTGTTTAGATTGAAAATGTAACTTGATAACAGAAAACTCAAAAACTAGATGTAATTAAAACTTAATTATCTGAATAAAGCAGTTCAAATTTGAGCTCTTAAGTACTTAAAGAGGCTATGATATTTTGATCTTTAAAGTTTGAACTGGTAGATGAATATCAACCATTGGAATCTTTGCAATACCTTTCTGAAAATTGATATACGTTCATGGATTTGGCAGGCACAGGAAATCGGAAAAGCGGCCGGTAGCTTCATGGAAGAGCAGCTAAAAATGGACTACATTTATGATTATATGTATCATCTGTTAAACGAGTATGCTAAGTTGTTAAAATTTGAAGCAAGAATACCTGAAGGAGCCGTGGAGTTGTGCTCAGAGGTCATGGCCTGTCATGCAGAAGGAATTGAAGGGCGAAAGAAGAAGTTCATGATGGAATCCTTGGTGAAAGGACCTTCGGTTTCAAGTGCATGCACCCTGCCTCCTCCTTATGAACCTCAAGCTCTTGCAGCATTTGTGAGGAGAAAAATCAATTCAATAATGCAAGTGAAGAAGTGGGAGAAAGGTTATTGGGACAGCCTCAACAAGCAATAGTGGAGTGGATGCCTAATCCTTTTGTTTTATATAATCTAAGACAAAGTCTATTTAGGTTTATGCCCAATTTTAATAAATACATGGGTCAAATAGAGAGTACATACAATTTTTTTTTTTTTTGGTAATTGGCACATCCAATAAACCATTAGTGATTTGTAAGGGAAAAAAAACAAGAAAAAGCTTTGTATTATCAGAACAATGCTAAAGTGAAGAAAAATGAAGCAGGGTCAGGTGAACTTGTTGGGACTGGGTCGACTGAAGTTTGAAGCTGAGAGGGAGACCTATCAGACTATAAGGGTGGTCTACTCTAGGGCAGGAAAGCGGTCCACTTGCAAAGTCGATATAACCAACCATTACAGAAAGTTATTGGGCAAAAGGTGGCAGGTGGCTAGAAGGACAAAAACAGAGGACCACAAGTCCACAACCGTGACACGAGAAAGCTCCAATTCCAAGTCACAACTATTTACTCTCTTTGAACAACTTTTGAACCCAACTTCAATGGTTTTCAGCTTTAGATATTGAATTTAATTTTGAAATTCCCACCTATTGCCTTAATGATTCCATGTTCGAAATTCTTCAACACCTCTGCTTCTGTGATCAGTGAATTTCAGCAGAAAGAAAAGCAGGATTTTAAACTTATTTTTGAGTTCTTAATTTTCTTACCCATCAAACTCGAGTTTTTAAGGACGAATCAGTTCCAATACTTTTCTGGCAATCGGCATGAGCGTGAAGTTTTTGTGTTGCAGCCTGGGTAAAAGCCCAAATTGCCTTGCAACACTGGATTGGCTTCAGGGAAGAGCAATCGAAGCAACAACACAGCAGCCGAAGATGCTTTTGGATTTTGATTTTGGGCTTTGCCTTTAGGCCTTTTACCAAAATGAGCACCGAAACAACAGTCACATGCGAACATAAACTCAAAGGCCACAATCAAAAGGGATTTGGGACCACTACCAGAAACAAGACGTGGATAGTTCATCACTGCATTGTCCCAAAGGAGTTAACGCGTCATGAATCACAGGGATTTCTAGAGGGTCAGGGCCAATATGGAAGGACATTGAATTTGGTCTGTTATCTGCCCGAATCGACAAAATAATGAAACATAAAACCCCCCAAGTGAATGCACAATGATCCCTCCTCCACCCCGGGGCCATTGCTGGGTTGCTGTCACCGGAAAGCAAAAGCCCAGGATTCCTCCAGAGTACAGACAGATAAATGTCATTGTTTCACAATGAACATTAAACAAAGACCTCTTGAATGAATCCAAAAGATCAAACCAAGCAATGGGACTCAAGAATTTCTGTTGTAAATGCTGAAAATATGACCTTCCCCCCACCCCCCCCAAAAAAAAAACCATTAATCTTTGTGGTCCATAATCTATTGCTTTAGCCCAGTTTTTTTCTACGTTCAAAAGACAATCAGTACACTCCTTTTAGCAAATGGTGTGACTGAATTTATACTTGGTATTGGTCATGTCCTTGTATGGAAATGACAAGCAGATTAAATTTTGACGAGAACAGACGGGCCGCGACGGTTGAGAGCCTTGTATTCCCACACTAATGCTAGAATTGACAAAAGCTGCCACCTCTCAAATTTAAATACTACGAAGTGCTATCCACATATCATGACCAGTTGCGTAGCCCATTTTTTTGTGTTCTTATAAAATTTACTCCTAGTTATTTGGACGGAAAAATCTTTTCATACCGAGAATTTAACTGTTAAAATCTTTACTAAGATTTGACCACAACTCTTCTCCGTCACTGACTCACGTTTCATAACGATTGAGTCGCTAGGCGTGCCCCTCGAAGCCTAGCCTAAAAATGAGCCCTCCCAACAGCTATTGACTAACCCTCAAACGCCACCCCCCCGGTAAACTGTCGGCTGCCATAGGCCTTGGCTTGGGTTCGAACCCAGACCTACATGCCTCACAAAGGGGGTCAAGGTCATTTAACATGGTACGGCTATCATTAGAAAAAGTAAGCAACTTTAGGTTAGGCTAAAGCCCTTTTGTTAGTTGTAGTGTTAGATGTTAATTTCTTTGCTAACACTCGATTGTGTCGGTGGACAAATCGCCACTAATCACAGTCCTTGTCGTGAACAAATCTTTATACCTAGATAGATTTGTGTGTCGTAGCGTAAGGTGGTTCCAAGAACCAATTATAACACAAACTTGAGCTGGGGACTATGAAAAAAATATAAAAAATAAATAAATAAATTCGAAAGCTTTGCCCACTCTTTTTCTATTCGCAATTTCAACACGATTTAGATAATGTAACATCAAATTGGTTTAAAGGGGCCGTATGCAAAAAAATTATTTTAAGATTCAAACTGATGGAAACCTACAAGCAAATTTTACTAGTACATTAGACCTACCAAAATTTACCAAGAAAAAAGAACCCCACCAAATCATGAAGGGGTCTTGGCTTTTAAGCGTTTAACCAAACTTTGAAAATTCTTGCTCTTGAATCCACTTAGCTCGTGAAGTAGACAGCTTATCTAATCCCACAGTGTCAAACCAGTAAATAAATCACTGATTTTGTTTTTATAATTAAAAGAAAAGAAATTCAAATCTTATTTTTTAAATAAGAGATATGCACCACCTAATTAATTAAAAATTTCAATACATTTTTTAACTGCCATGTGAGGGAAGATTCAATGAAATAAAAGTGCTTCGATTCCTTCAATGTGATTTCCTTACTCTTAAAAACAAAGGGTGTCAAGTAGGATTTGGGATTATGTTATAAATTGACTATTAGACCAAAAGTCCATGATTAGGTGTTGGTATGGGTGGTGCATAAAAGTTTCGAAACTGAAATGATTCTTTGATTTGCTTTTTAACCAATATAAAATTCTAAGTAAAGGATGTGTAGTACACCAGACTTGATGGTATATGTCCTTTGTTTGCATTAACTTGAGCCTGAATCATTCTCAGAATACAGAAAAGAAAAGCACTAGAGAAGAGGTGCTGGGGGGCAGAAAACCTAACAAAGAGGTCTTAAAAAACATGAAGGGTCGATTTCTTTTCTTTCTTTTCTGTCCACCTTTAACATTATTTATGCTGAAAGAAATCAGTAAATGGAAAAACATTGAGGGTCCTTGCCGTCTAAGCTCATGGAGGCTTTGAGAGAGGAACAGGGGGACCCCAAATTCCATTCAATAAAGCACAACATAAAAACCTGTTTCAGCTTCTAAAATCCAGGGTCCACAAAATTTGTCTTATGCTTCACTTTTTTGAAAAATTAAACACTCAAGGCCCTGTAAGTCTGTTAGAACTACATTGGCTAAAGGGAGGGGGGGAAATTTTCTCTTATTTCTTTTGACTTTGGTACCCAAATGCTTTTAACACTTCCCCAATCTCAAATGGGATTGAGGACAGCATATCACTAAAAATTGAAAATCATGAGGCTCCCCCTTTTCACCTTCCCTTTAAAACTACTCAACCCTAGAGTCCTTATGCTTGGAAGCATTGTCAGTGAGGAGCCTTAAAGCTTAAACAACCTTCATGCCCCTTTTGGACATACAAAAAAGGATTCACCATGTCATGCCAAACCAGAGAAGGCAGTCCCCCCCCTCCCCCCCTTTAAAAAAAAATCCTCAACTTAATAATTTTTAATGGTCCACACACATCACAACTTGCCACTTTAATCATGTGCATTTATTTAATCACATTTATGCTCAATCCATGTCCATGAGACCATTCCAATTCCATGCATTACACTATTTCATATTTACTCATTTATTCATACAAATCCTTTTCGGGTTTTGGGTGTTTTGGGGTCCTTTCTTTTCATTCTCACTTTGAAGATAAATTTAAGATGGGAGTTGTTGTGTGTCCATGTCTTTGATTATTGTTCCATATAAGACCACATTGCTTGTCGATTGAATCTCATGGGTGACAACTGTAAAACCCTGTGTCATATTTGGCTTTTGAGGCTTTAACAAAAGAGAAGCCTTCTAGCTCAACTAAACAACAAAAGAAGGATTTAAAGCATATGCTAATGTGAAGGTTTAGTCGAAATATAGGCAAATAAAAAAACCTTAACTGCCTTTCTTTTATTATCGTTTAAGAAATTAAACAATTTTATTAAAATAGACAAGATTTATTGTGCCTAACATGTGAATTCCCTTTTATAAATTGTGCCCATTTAGCATATTTGTTAACAATTGACATATCTAACATAAATTTTGCCCCCATCACATATTTAATTTATGATTTAGGGATAAAGATTTCTCTCCTACTTTAGAATTATTATTTTGGTCTAAATTTCAAGGATATTTTAGTCTTTTCATTGAGAAGGTGGACCGTAGTATTTGGAGGTTCAATCGAGTCAAACTTGATGGATTTGTTAAATCAGCAAATCACAGCTCTCAGCTGCCCTTGATTCTGCAAACGTTTTAAGATCTCGTGATAATTGGGTGGCTACCGTATTCGTGAGATGATAATCAGGAGGCGCGCTGATTTTAATGTTGGAGTTGAGAACGCCGCACATGATCTCTGGCGAAATTTGCGGAGGGCCCTCAGGTTTTTTCTTAATCATTATCACTAATCACTATGGGTTATGAGGGATTTAATAAAATTATGGAGCTTGGGTATAATTTTTTAGTTTTATTAAAAAAACACTTTTTGAAAAGAAAAAAATTTGAAACATAGATACAACTAAAATAAGATTAGGTACTAGATTTGAGTTTACCTTTCTTGCTAAAAAAGGGGGAATTAAACACTTTGACCTTACAGGGATTTGACATTTTAACTTCTCAAAGTGAATTATTTGACTAGTTTGTCAATCCAGGAGATTAGCCCTAAGACAATTAAAGTCCATTATTAATGTTGTTATTGTTCAACTATTTCAAATTATTAAAGATGATTTTCAATATTTTCGAGGAGAAAATGAGAGAAAAAGACAACTTATCTAATTATTAATTGACTTTTAAATTATAGCAAAAAAAGTCATAAATTAAAAAAACACAATAATTATAAAGAATTTGTGAATATAACATTAAATTAAGCAACTGGTATTGTAAAAAATTATATAAGCATACCATATTATTAACATTTAATATTTGTTATTTATCACCATTAAATAATACTTCTCAAAGTATGGAAATAAAAAAATAAAAAAAGTATATAATATTTTTAAAAATATTGTCACTATTCATCCATTATCAGCACGTTTGGAACCTGGCTCCGAGCAATTATCCATTTGTAATTATGTTAACGCGTTTGCAATTTTTTTATTAATTTTCAAATGGGCACGGAGAATGTGTATCCTACGAAGGTACATCATGGATATTACAAACCTTGAATCCAACGGCTCACGATACGCCCATGATTCGTCATAACCAGTGATAATCACCTGCCGTGTATCCAAGAAGTGTCAACGGTAATTTAGGTTGGTTGCCTATGGTTTTAAACTGCTGCGGCTCACACATTAGCAAACCCTTCCCGAGTTTTATGTTCATTATCTCACGAGATTTATGCGCACTAATTAATTTGGCTTCTCTCAGTGCAATCATTAGCAGAAACCACTAAGCAAGCAACAAGGTT